TTAGCTGAGTTATAAGGCTGAGGCTAGGCTTTCCTTAGCGTGAAGATGAGAGAGGCTTCTCTCTCTCTCTCTCTCTCTCTCTCTCTCTCTCTCTCTTTTTTTTCGAGACAGAGTCTTGCTCTTTCGCCAGGCACCAGGTTGGAGTGCAGTGGTGCAATCTCAGCTCACTGTAACCTCTGGCTCCTGGCTTCAAGCAATTCTCCTGCCTCAGCCTCCAGAGTAGCTGGGACTACAGACACATGCCACCATGCCCAGCTAATTTTTGTATTTTAGTAGAGACGGGGGGGTTTCACTATGTTGGCCAGGATGGTCTCGATCTCTTGACATTGTGATCCACCTGCCTTGGCCTCCCAAAGTGCTGGGATTACAGGCACAAGCCACCATGCTCAGCCTCTTTTTTTTTTTTTTTTTGAGACAGGGTCTCACTCTATTGCTCCGGCTGGAGTAGGGTGGCGCAATCTTGGCTCACTGCAACCTCCACCTCCCGGGTTCAAATGATTCTGCCATCTCCACCTTCTAAGTATCTGGGACTACAGGCGTAAGCTACCACATCTGGCTAATTTTTGTATTTTTTGGTAGAGACCATGTTTCACCATGTTGGTCAGGCTGGTCTCGAACTCCTGACCTCAAGTGACCTGCCCACCTTGGCATCCCAAAGTGCTGCCATTACAGGTGTGAGCCACTGTGCCTGGCCAGCTTATTCCCTTCTCTATGATGCTTCCCTCACACCGTTACAGGTTTCTTCTGAGAGCACTCCATTATATGACTTGCACAAGGAGTCAAGGCTTAGTCTCTGCTTCCACAGACAAAACAAGTATCTGTAGAATTTTTACAATGAGCAGTTTGGTAAAGATGAAAAAAAGTTAATTTTATTTTGAAAATAAAAATCTTATGTGGATTCCAAGATAAAGCATTCTAATGGGTTGAGGCTGAATATTTGTAGCCTAAAAACCATGATTACATTTTCTACAGTACCCTGAGCTAAAGTTTGTCAAAGCAGGTCATTCATTCACTTTACCACAAAAGATTCAGATCTTTATTTGTAGATGTAAAGCATTGTTACACTTAGTAGGGCAGCGGAGTGGGTGGAAGTTGTGGAAGTGGAGACAGTGAGTGTAGGTCACACATTGAAGATATTTATGGGCAAGAAAGAGAGGAAAAATACTTTGGTATGAAAGGGCGGTAGGGTAAAGAGATTTCTTTAAGCTGGAAGGGTCTTGAATATGCTTGTAGAAGGAGGTGGAGGAGTATCAGAACTAGAAAATAATGAAAAAAATGGAGCAAGATTTCAAGGAAGATGAGAAGGGATAGTGTCCCGTACACAGTATATTGAAGGAGGTATTAGGCTATGGTGAGGAGGAGGAGGTGGTTAGAATGGGTGAACTTATGGGTAAATCTAGGGACTGAAGGAAGGCAAGGTGAGACTGCAACTGGTGGCCAATAATTTTTACATGATGTAGGAAGCAATGTTATTAGTTAAATAAAGAGGCAAAAGTAGAGGTAGGAGTCTTCAGGGGAGTGGCAAATGCTGATGGAAGTAACCAGAGATAAATCAAAGGATAACTAGGTTGATTATAGAAACTGTATATGTAAAGCTAAGAAACTGTGACTCGATCAAGTGCTAGGGAGTATATCTCACTAGGGTAGTGGATGGAGATTTCTCCGTCACCCAGGCTGGAGTGCAGTGGTGCAATCTTGGCTCACCACAACCTCTGCCTCCCAGGTTCAAGAGATTCTTCTGCCTCAGCCTCCCAAGTAGCTGGGACTACAGGCGCCTGCCAGAACACCCAGCTAAATTTTGTATTTTTAGTAGAGATGGGGTTTCACCATATTGGCCAGAATGGTCTTGAACTCCTGAACTTGTGATCTGCCCACCTCAAAGTGCTGGGAATACAGGCGAGAGCCACCACAGCCAGCCATGGGTGGAGTTTTAAGAAGATAGATTTGGCATCCCCTGATGGGTGGGCTTGAGTAGGGTGAGAATAGAAACAGAATATCTAAGGAAATCCAGAATGAGGGTGTGGACGATGAGAGATATGCAAATAGGAATAACAAATTAAAAAAAAAAAAAGAAATTAAAACCTGGGGATAGAACTCCAGAAATGCAAAGTAAGGGCAGCTGCATGATCTGATCTAGTAAGTTCTGCAGGTTCTGAAAACCAGTTGGGGCTCCAGGACCAAGCAACAGGACTGGATGATAAGCCAAACTCAACTCAACAGCCAGGGATGGAGAAGACTTTTTTCCTTTTTCTTTTTCTTATTTTTGTCTGATTGTCCACACCAAATATTATTATCATTTATTTTTTTAGAAACTCAGTTGAAATGGAAACTTGGTGTATTATTATTTTTAAGACAGAGTTTTTGCTCTTGTTGCCCAGGCTGGAGTGCAATGGTGCTATCTCGGGTCACTGCAACCCTGCCTACTGGGTTCAAACGATTCCTGTTTCAGCTTCCCGAGTAGCTGGGATTACAGGTGCCCACCACCATGCCCAGCTAATTTTTGTATTTTTAGTAAAATCAGGGTTTCAACACGTTGGTCAGGCTGGTCTCAAACTCCTGACCTCAGGTGATCCACCCACCTCGGCCTCCCAAAGTGCTGGGATTACAGGTGTGAGCCACCATGCCTGGCCAGGGAAGGCTTTTTCTTCTTTTTTTTTTTTTTTTTGAGACAGAGTCTTGCTTTGTTGCCCATGCTGGAGTGTAATGGCCTGATCTCTGGGTTCACTGCAACCTCCACCTTCTAGATTCAAGTGATTCTCCTGCCTCAACTTCCTGAGCAGCTGGGATTACAGGCACATGGCACCATGCCCGGCTAATTTTGTATTTTTAGTAGAGACAGGGTTTCCCCATGTTGGTTAGGCTGGTCTTGGACTCCCAACCTCAAGTGATCCACCCACCTCGGCCTCCCTAAGTACTGGGATTATAGGAATGAGCCACAGTGACTGACCAAATTTTGTATTTTTTGTAGATATGGGGTTTCTTCATGTTGTCCAGGCTGGTCTTGAACTCCTGACCTCAATTAATCCGTCCTCCTCGGCTTCCAAAAATGTTGAGATTACAAGTGTGAGCCACCTTGCCTGGTGAGAAGGCCTTCTCAGAGTACAGACATAAGCTTTGGAGGGAGGTGGTACATACTACATATGTAATGGATAAGGCTATGAATTATTAAAGACATTTGGGAAAACATATCAATTGCTGAAATGTGCTGTCTGACCCATAACTGAAGGGAAATATAAGGAAGTATGTAGATACTTCTAGATGTCCTCTCAAACTCCCTATAATACCTTTTTGTTTTTTTCCGGCACAACAGAATCTTTTTGAAAAATGGAGGAAAAGTTATGAATCCTCTTCTCAAAAAATTCACATATAACACAAAATATATTTCATAGTTTAAGGGAGTCCATGAATTTCTGAAATGCATCCATAAAGTTCAAGAGAAGTTGATGAGAGAGATGCAAATAGGAATAACAAATTCAATCAATAGACCTAGGGATAAAATACTTTCTGGGGAATTATACCTTTATAATAATAATAAACTATCTTTATCTGTGGAAGATTAAGAAGACCCACATCACAATCCCTATCCTTCAAATTAATACTTGGGGATGGAGCTCCAGAAATACAAAGTAAGGACATTTGGATCGTCTGGTCTAGTAGGTTCTGAAAACCAGTTGGGGTTCCAAGACGAAACAACAGGACTGGATGGTAAGTGGTACTCAACTCAACAGCCAGAGATGGAGAAGACTTTTTCTTTTACTTCCTTTTTTTTTTTTTTTTTTTGAGACAGAGTCTTGCTTTGTTGCTCTCACTTGTATTGCTCTCACCTGTCTTTCCTCCCAAGAGGCAATCCAATTCTCAGTCCTATATCACACTACGGTAAATTGACTAGATTGTTTGGAAGCAGCTTCTGGAAGCAGGTGGATTTGGGAGATCAGCAGGTGTTACTATGCTTTTCTTACTTTGCCGAGTATCAACACATAGATAATGTAACAGAAGATGTCACATTCTGGATCTTTCAGAAGGCTGTTATGGACACTACAAATAATGGTCTCTGACCACAGACATAGCTGAATCATTCAGCAAATATTTACTGGGCGCCTGATATGTACAGGCACTGTGCCACGGACTGAGCCCAGCGAAATAAAGAAGACACCATTTCTGTCATTGATGAGTGGCTTCACATGTAAAAGCGTGGATGCAGTTACTAGCGGCCTTAAAAACAAAGACACCTAAGTTTGAGGCATTCTGCGGAGATGGAAAGGGCTCTGAGCTGGCAATGTGATTTTTGGTTTCTCCACATCCCAGACTTCTGAGCTTGGCAAGCCACTCAATCTCAGTTGCTTCACCTACCAAATGGGGTTAATAGGTAGACAGAACTGTTGCCTATCTTCAAAAAGATAACCCCTGTAAAAATGAACATACATGAGAAAACACAAGCACGGGGCTTATCTAAAGTGATAGTTGGCAGAGGGAAGAGGGAGGGAACAGGTCAGCTCCCCAGGTCTAAATAGCCTGCGCTGCGTCTCGCACGAGGCGGGATCCGCTCAATCAGCCTTCCCGGATGGATCAAGCTCCGCTTCCGCCGCAGACAGTCGCTGAAGGTGTGATCGCCGGGCGTCAGACGCAGGGAACTGCCAGGGCCTCCCTCGCGCGCCTGCTCCTGCGGAGAGGTGGAGACCGGAAGGGTGTGGGCGTGGCGAGGCACCGCAGACCGCCGGCTCGCTCTCTCAGAGGCCCGGCTGTGGAGGCGGGGACGCGCCCGCGCTTGTTCGCGCGGCCTGGTGCGTACAGTAGTGACGGCCGCGCGGGAGCGGTCACATGACCGTAGCGGTAGCCTGTACAGTAAGAACCCAATATGGCAGCGGCGGTAGCAGTGGCAACGGCAGCAGGAGGACCGGCCGCCCCATAGACCCCCCCGCGCACCACCCCCGCCGCTTCCTCTGCTTGGGTGCCCCTCCGGCCTGACTTCCCCTTTCTCCCACCTTTCCCGGCACTGCGGGAAAAGCAGCGCAGGGCAGAGCAGGCAGGGAGGGCGGCCGGAGCCCGGACACGGGAGCCTCCCAGTCAGTTCAAGACCCGACATGAGGGAAAAGGGACGTAGGAAGAAGGGCAGGACCTGGGCGGAGGCCGCCAAGACGGTAAGGGGGATGGAACGAAAGGGAAGGCCGGGAGGATTTTGTTCCCTTGTCGCTCGCCAGTCGCAGGGGAAGGGAGGCCACTGGCTCAGCGACCCGGTGGAGGGGGCACAAAACGGCGCATAGAGGGCGGCGGTCAGTGTCGGGGTTGCGATCCCTGTGGGAATGGAGGTGCCTGGCGGAACGTGAGCGCCGCGGGGCCATGGCTTCTCTCCGCATCTGTGGCGAGTCCTCTCGGTGTTTTGAGGCTGTCTCTTGGGGTCACGTCGCTATCACCTCCGCTCTGTGGTAGCCCCCGCCCCGGACGGGGAAGTCTGTGGTGCTTGCATGGTAGCCGGTTCTTCTCCCTTGTGCGGCTGGAGAGCCCCCATTGGATGCAGATAGGCGAAGGCTTGTGCGTGCATTCAGCCCCGGAAAGGAGAGGGGAGCGCTGGAGCTGGATAGAATTTACCCGTTACGGCGGACATGCCGCCTGACTTCGGGGCCCCTGTTTGGCTCCCGGAGCGGACGTGAGATCACGAGGCTTTTGTTTTTGTTTGGTGCTGGAGTCGAAAGTGCAGGAGGTGTTTAGAAACGAAGTAACAGGTGGGACTTGTAGAATTTTTTTTTTCTGTTTCCGTAGAGACCTACTCTGAACAAGGCAGCAATGCATGGTGGGACGTGTAGTTTACCGGCGTTCACTTTTCACTAGCAAAAGTGATGGTGGCTTAACGAAGTTGTAATGAGTGGGTAAAACAGTTTTTTCCTCTTGATTCCGTTATGACGAAATTTAGAGGTAGGTTTTAAAAAGTGGAATATTGAGGATTAGTGAGAACTTTTGTCGTATTTTAAGAAAAATTAAAAGCATGTTGTATGCAGAAATGAAATGGTAGGAGATAGTGAAGTTCATTCTATCGTTGAGGGTGCAGCAGAAAAGTAATAGGACGTTAAACAGCAACATTTTAATAGTGGAAAGTGAAGGGTATTCATCTCTTTAATGGTGAATCATGTCAGTAATAACCCTTGTTATATGTCATAGGGTTTATTTTTTAATGAGTTCTTAAAAATAGTAATGTTCACTGTGGGGAAATTTGGAAAGTTATAGGAAAGTATAAATAAGACAATTAAAAAAAATCACATTTCACCCCTCGTCAGTATCTGCTAATATTTGGTATATTACAATCTATTCTCTTTTACGTATTTCCCCAAATCTAGGTCATACTGTTTATTGAGACTTGTGCATTTGTTTGCAAACTTTGTGCATTTGTTTTGTAAACCTTATGCATTAGGAGGTTGATTAGTCTTCAATCTGTATTTCTCTTAGTTGGAAATGTAAAAAAGCTAAGAAATAATAGCATTTTTTTACTTAATGTTTTTACTTTTAATGTATCCTCGTATAGCTTCCTGTGCTAGTATTTTCCCTCTAAAAGATAAGACTCTAGAAACACTTTCTTTTTTTGATGAAGAAGGCTGCTTCTCACAGAAGGCTATTTTACTCTCTGGTGGATACTTGAAGACTGCTTTCTGTTAAAGAAGCATGATGAATTTTAATTATAGGTAAGCAGACCTGAGCCCTAATTTATGGCAATTTAAGTTTCTAGGATCTTTAAAATTGTTCTTTTAATTTTAAAAAGTATTTTATAGAGACAGGGTCTTGTTTTGTTGCCCAGGCTGGGCTGGTCTTGAACTCCTGGGCTCAAGCAGTCCTCCTGCCTTGACTTCTCAAAGCACTAATATTACAGAAGTTTCTAGAATCTTAAGAGTGTTTTCTGAATTATGATTCCTTTGATAAAATATAGCCATTGGGAGATTGTGACGAATAGGAAATATTAGTCTGCCTCTACTTAGCTTCTCTTATATTAGACTATTTTCTCATTTCATGCCCTAACTAGCTATGCGAAAAAATAGTATTTAAAAGTTGAAAAGACTACTTTGATTAGTAGAGTTCCTGAGGGGACCAGTATATTAGCAGCTTGGTGTTTTTCTTTGATTCTGGCAAATACATAAATCCCCAGTCTCAGTGAAAATGTGTTTTAGAAAGAGAATGATGACGCTAAAGTTTTTCTTTGTCTAGTAGCCAAAATCTAGAAAACGCTCTAATTTTTTGGGGTTATTTTGTTACCTATACGTGACTGGATTAAACTAAATCTCAGTGTTCAAAATATTTCTATTTTTAGGAGAAATAGATGAAAATGAAAGGACTGGGCAAAGATACATCTGTAATATTTCAGGCTGCAGAAGAATTAAAACTAGAAAATTAGTGATTTGACAACCGAAAGTAACTTTGACTTAAATAAGAATGCTAGTATTTAGATCAGGAGGAATAGGAAAGAGGTTTTAAGGCGCTTAAACTTATTTCTTAGGCATTAGGATGTCAAGTGATCTAGAAACAGTTTCATCAAGAAAGCAAGTGTCTGTTTCTTATTTCATGTGTTCTTGGTACCTCCATTGTAGAGCTATCATGTTTTAGAGAGTACTACTAAAATCGGGTTGTTTTCCTAACCAATAATATAGCAACAGATCTATTCAACACCTTAGATGTATATATGTGATACTGGGATGATACAGGTGTGTGTGTGTGTGTGTGTGTGTGTGTATGTGGGAGAGCTACATGGTTTGAGGTAAGGTTACTATAAACTAAGAAAGCAAAATAGTAAGATTCATAATTATTATTATCACTTTATTTATTTATTTAGAATGGGTTTTGCTGTGTTGCCCAGGCAGGAGTGCAGTGGCTTCACATGTATGATCGTGGTATACTACAGCCTTGAACTTCTGGGCTCAAGTGATCATCCTGTCCAGGCTTCCCAAGTAGCTGGGACTACAGGTATGTGTCACTGGTCTGGCTTCATAATTATTATGTTAGATGATGCCCAAAGGCTGATAAAATGAACTTAAATGTATACACTCGCCCCAGTAACTAAGGACCCCAGAGAGAGGTGATGGAGCTGTGATTCAGCTGATCTTGAATGCACATTGACTACACTGTACTGCCTCCCTGTTGATCAGCTGTGATTCGGCTGATCTTGAATGCACATTGACTACACTGTACTGCCTCCCTGTTGATCTCATTTGTCTTATTTAAATATGCTAGTTACAAAAAGCATTATTCTAGTATTTAGTTAATAGTTTCACATGTTTTACTTTTTTTTTTTTTTTTTTTTTGGGGACATGATTTGGCTCTGTCGCCCAAGCCGAGTGCAGTGCCGTAATGGTGGCTCATGGCAACCTCAGCCAACCCTTCAAGCAATCCTCCTGCCTCAGCCTCCAGAGTAGCTGGGACTGCAGGTGTGCGTCATCACTCGCAGCTAATTAATTAATTATTTTTTTTTTGGTAGAGATAGGGTCTCCCTATGTTGCTGAGGCTGGTCTTGAACTCCTGGGCTCAAGCGATAGTCCTGCCTCAGCCTCTCGAAGTACTGAGATTATGGACGTGGGCCATCATACTCAGCTGTATGTTTTAAATTTTAAGGACAGTAGTGGTGGCGGTAATGAATGATTTGGGTGAGCTATATATATTGTAGTGTTTAGTACAATTTAAATTGAAAAACTTGTACCTAACCAGGGATATTGAGAACTATTACACTGACTTTATTTATTTATTTATTTATTTATTTATTTATTTATTTATTTTTTGAGACGGAGTTTCGCTCTGCTTGCCCAGACTGGAGTGCAATGGCACGATCTCGGCTCACCGTAACCTCCACCTCCTGGGTTCATGCAATTCTCCTGCCTCAGCCTCCTGAGTAGCTGGAACTACAGGCGTGCACCACCATGGTCAGTTAATTTTCGTATTTTTGGTAGAGACAGGGTTTCACCTTGTTGACCAGGATGGTCTCGATATCTTGACCTCGTGATCCACCCTCCTCGGCCTCCCCAAGTGCTGGGATTATAGGCGGGAGCCACCACGCCTGGCTACACTGACTTTATTTTTTGAGGCAGGGTCTTACTTTGTCACTAAGGCTAAAGTGCAATTATGCGATCACGGCTCACTGAAACCCAGCTCCTAGGCTCAAGGGCTCCTCCCCCTTAGCCTGTGGAGTAGCTAGTAGTACACACATGTGCCACTATGCACAGCTAATTTGTGTGTGTGTGTGTGTGTGTGTGAGAGAGAGAGAGAGAGAGAGAGAGAGAGAGAGAGAGAGAGAGAGAGATGGGGTCTCACTCAGTTGCCCAGGCTGGAATGCAGTGGCGTGATCTTGGCTCACTGCAGCTTTTGCCTGCTGGGCTTGAGGAGTTGTCCTGACTGAGCTTCCCAAGTAGTTGGTACTACAGGCATGTGTTGCTATGCCCAGCTGATTTTTTGTATTGATGGGGTTTTGCCATGTCTCACAGGCTGGTCTTGAACTCCTGGGCTCAGGTGATTTGTCCACCTCAGCCTTTCAGTGTAATGGGATTATAGGCGCGAGCCACTGCACAGGGCCCACAGCTAATTTTTAAACTTTTTTTTGTAGAGACGGGTCTCACCAAGTTTTTCAGGCTGGTCTCCAACTCCTAGACTCAAGCGATCTGCCTGCCTCGGCCTCCCAGAGTGTTAGGATTACAGGTGTGAACCACTGCACCTTGCCTGCATTGACTTTAGGATTATGTTCAAAGTTACGCTCATTAAAAAGGAAGATGAATCGTCTAAATATTTGATTACATCCCGAGGATTTTAGCAGTTTTTGCAAAGCAAAACTTTGAAAATAGCAGTCTTATCCAACTTGTTTACTTTTTGACTTTTCCCTCCTTACCCATCGCTGGAGAAGCGTTACAAGGCAAAAGAGTTCCAAAAGGACAAATGTTATGTGTGTGATGGTAGGTGGAAGAGATGGAGAGGCAGACTTTAGAGATTATACACTGAAGGGACGTTGGGTATTTTTTTGGGAGGAAAGTGATGAAACATATGAGAAACAAGGTGTGGGTGTTAGAGATGAGGAATATAACCTGTAGTTTAGATCTTTGGAATATAATTTGTAGACTAAAGAAAAAGTTTTTTTTTTTTTTTAATTTATGTAGACTTGATTCCTTGGTTAATATTTTGAATGTATACAATATTTTAGTTTTTGTCATTTACCTTATTTAATTTTAGGGAATAAGGTAAAAGAAAATTTCCATTAAAGGGATGACATTGGTAGGCTAATTACTTTGAGCTAGGCAGTGTAGAAAATGGAAATATTATTTTCTGAGATGGAGTCTCACTCTGTTGCCCAGGTTGGAGTGCAATGGTGCTATCTTGGCTCACTGCAACCTCCACCTCCCGGATTCAAGCGATTCTTCCGCCCCAGCCCTCCAAGTAGCTGAGATTATCACGCCTGGCCAATTTTTATTATACAAACTTTAGAAAGTAAAACTGGGCAGAATCTTGGCTCATGGATATATAAAAATTGGTGAGAAAGCATTATCAGTGGCATGCGCTAAACCTTGAGAAACTGAGAGCTAAGCTATCAGGACGCAAAGGCCTAAGAATGATAGAATGGACTTTGGGGACTCTGGGTGGGGGAAGGGTGGGAGGGGGTGAGGGATAAAAGACTACACATTGGGTACAGTGTGCACTGATCAGGTGATGGGTACACCAGAATCTCAGAAATCACCACTAAAGAACTTATCCATGTAACCAAACACTTACCTGTTCCCCAAAAAGTATTGGGGGGGAAAAAAGAACTTATAACCCCCCACAAGAGCCAATACATTGAGACTTCTGGGAAAAAATTCTTCTGAGAAACCATCTGGGCCCAGTCCTTTTTGATGAGCCAATTCCTTGATAATTTTGTGTATTTCTTCTGTGGAGCTTAGTTTGCCTAACATCCTCTCTCTATGAGGTTCAATTTTAGTAAATTGTATTTTCATTAACAATTATCCATATGATATAGATTCTCAAATTTATTTGCCTAAAGCTGTGGAAAATCTCTTAGAATTTAAAATTTTCTCTCTTTATAGTTATTTTTCCCTTATTGATGCTTACTTTGTGTATTTGTATTACTATCTTTTTTTTTAATTAATATTGCTAGTGGTTCTTTTTGTGCAGTTTTTTTTTTCTCCAAAGAAAAGGATTTTGTTTATGAATTGTTTTTTTATTCTCTGACCTCAGTAGTTCACTTGAACCTTTACAGTTTAACTTTTAGGCTCTGTTTTGGTTTCCTTTGTTACCTTTCTAGCTATTTGAGTTGAGAATTTATTTACTTTATTTTTTATTTTTTTTTAAAAGGAGTCTCACTCTGGCGCCTGGGCTGCAGTGCAGTGGTGGATCTCAGCTCACGGTAACCTTCGCCTCTGGGATTCAAACAATTCTCCTGCCTCAGCCTCCCAAATAGCTGGGATTACAGGTGCTTGCCATAATGCCCAGCTAATTTTTGTATTTTTGGTAGAGATGGGGTGTCACCATGTTGGCCAGGATGGTCTTGATCTCTTGACCTTGTGATCCTCCCACCTCTCCTTCCAAAGTGCTGGGATTACAGGCATGAGCCACTGCACCTGGCCTATTTATTTTCATTTTTAATTTTTTTTTTCCCTTGAGACAGTGTCTTGCATGTTGCCCAGATTGGAGTGCAGTGGCGTGATCTCAGGGAGCTGCAGCTTCTGCCTCCTAGGCTTAACGGATCCGCTTGCCTCAGCCTCCCAAGTACCCTGGGACCACCAGCGCACACTACCATGCCTGGCTAATTTTTATATTTTTTTTGTAGAGATGGGGTTTTGCCACGTTGACCGGCCTGGTCTCAAATTCCTGGGCTCTAGCGATCTGCCTGTTTGGCCTCCTAAAATGTTTGGATTGCAGGTGTGAGCTGCTGTGGTCTGCTAATTTTTAATTGATGTAGCTCTTTGGTCTTGTGAATTTTCCTCTGATCTCTGCTTTACATTTATCCCATAGATCTGTATGTAAATTTTTTACTCATTGTTTTTCTGGAATTCTATAATTTATTTCTTCTTTCACCTAAGAGTTTAATACAAAGTTCTTTAATTAAAAAAAAAATTGAGAAACTGCTCTCATGCATAATTTTCAAAACAACTGTGTATTAATATTCATGAAATTACTTTCTGCAAGTCTGTTAGTAGTAGGTGGCTTGATGTAACACTGTGCTTGACTTACCTTCCTTCTTGCCATATTATAAATTTTGTGTTAATTTTGTAATTTTTTTCTGTCCTGTTCTTATTGCCCTATCTGGAAAGCAGACAAGCCTCCTAGCTTGTTGAAGGGGTTTGGAAAAAGGCAGAATCTTTTTTGAACACTTAAATTAAAAATTTCTATGAAAGGTGCTGCTGCTGCTGCTACTCCTGCATCTCTTATAGAATTCCGAAAGGCGTTGAGAAAAAACCTCTGGTTTGCGAAAGTCCTGCTGCTTTCCCATCCACAGATTCTGTCTACGCTTGAGAAGCTGGACGGTTTTGCTGTGGGTGAAGGGACATTTTTTTTCCCCCACTACAAAAGCTGTCTGAAAGGAGGCCTGTGTGTGGAAGATATAACTAAGCTTGCTATCTTTGTCATGTTTACAAAAGAACTCTGAATGCCCCTCTAGTTCTGTATTCTTTCTTTTTACATCTCACAGAGGCCGTCCTCATAGTTTATGGTATTTTATAATTTAGTATTTTTAGTACAGTGTGATTCTTATGTTTTTACTGTTAAAAGGTTATTGAATGTACTACATTTTAGAATATTAAATATGATTTTAAAACAGTGATACTTGCTTTAAATTTATTTCCTATTCAATATAGGCTCTTTTTTTTTTTTTTTTTTAAACAAACAAGTAGAAGTATATAGAGTTAATCCTGGATGATTCAATATACTGAAAACGGGGACTAAGTAAGTCTGCGTACTGAAATATTAAAAATATTTACCATACTGAAATTAACTATGGTTGCTAGCTTGTTACATATGGATTTCTGGATTTTTTTACCCTGTTTATACAAACAGGTATACCTTTGTTTTACATGAAATTCCATAACTTTATGAATATCATGGATATCTTTTCATGTCATTACTTGTATATTTAATATCTGCCTTCTTTTTTTTTTTCTTTTTTGAGATGGGGTCTTGCTTTGTTGACCAGGCTGAAGTGCAGTGGCATTCCCAGCCTTGACCTCCTGGGCTCAAACTATCCTACTGCCTCGGCTTTCTGAATAGCCAGGGTGACAGGCATGTGCCATCGTATCAGGTTGTTATTTTTTTTTTTTTGAGACAGAGTCTTGCTCTGTTACCAGGCTGGAATGCAGTGGTATGATCTCGGCAACCTCCGTCTCCTGGGTTCAAGCGATTCTCCTGCTTCAGCCTCCCAAGTAGCTAGGACTATAGGTGCATGCCACCACGCCCGGCTAATTTTTGTATTTTTAGTAGAGACAGGGTTCACCATGTTGGCCAGGATGATCTCGATCTCTTGATCTCGTGATCTACCTGCCTTGGTCTCCCAAAGTGCTGGGATTACAGGTCTGAGTCATCACGCCTGGTCACCAGGTTAATTATTAATGAAAAAAAATTTTTTTTTGTACAGATGGGGGTCTCACTATGTTCCCTACTCAGGCTGTATTACATCTTTTGAAGATGCATCTGAGCTGTTAGCTGTTATGGTGAATTGAGGCTCTAGTGGAGATTCTGTAGTAAAGAGCTTCTGTAAGTTCACAAATGCTTCTTTCATCTTAAAGCCTAGGCTGTGCGCAGTGGCTCACACCTGTAATCCCAGCACTTCGGGAGGCTGAGGTGGGTGGATCACAAGGCCAAGAGATCAAGACCATTCTGGCCAACGTGGTAAAATGTCTCTACTAAAAATACAAAAATTAGCTGGGTGTGGTGGCGGGCACCTGTAAACCCAGCTACTCAGGAGACTGAGGCAGGAAAATGCCTTGAACCCGGGAGGCAGAGGTTGCAGTAAGCTGAGATCGCACCATTGCAATCCAGCCTGAACGACAAGAGCAAAAACCCTGTCTCAAAAACAAAAAAAGACTTTCTTTTAAAGTGTTTTTACTTGTAGACCTTAACTAAGTTTCTTACATAGGAATGCTAAATCTTTTTTTTGTAACTTTTTAAAATTGGAGATAAAAGAGAAGATTATTTTTCTCACTTTTTTTTTTTTTTTGGAGACAGCATTTCACTCTGTTGCCTAGGCTGGAGTAAGTACAGTGGTGTGATCTCAGCTCACTGTAGCCTTGACCTCCCAGGCTCAGGTGATCCTTCCACCCCAGCCCCTCGAGAAGCTGGGACTACAGGCATGTGCCACCATGCCTGGCTAATTTTTTGTATTTTTGTAGGGACAGGGTTTCAGCATGTTGCCCTTGGTAATCTTGAATTCCTGGGCTCAAGCAATCCTCTCATTTTGTTGTAAAACTATTTATACCATCCTCTGAGTAAGTTGATCCATCTTTTGGCAAAAATTATGTTGTGAGAGAGTTTCCATTTGAAAATTTCTTGGCTACTGACATTAATTAGGAGTTGATACTAGAGTGGACTTTCATTGAAGTTCTCAGCCTGGGATGGCCCATGTCATCTTGAATCTTTAACTCAGTGATGTTTGAATTATTCAGCCATATTCAATTTCAAATAAGTGTTCAATGGTGTTAGTGACTTATTTCTAAATGGTACACATTTTTAAAGTTTTGCTATTGATTTATAATGATGAGTTTATGTCTGATTTGAGAGGTTCTGACAAATTTTGTAAGAAACAGATGTAACCATGAAATACATTAGTGTTATGAAAGGTTTTCTTTTTTTTGTGTATATTTTGTGTTTGCGTAAGAATGTAAAAAGGGATGGATTACAAGATAAAGATAATAGAAAAATGGTTTGCATACTAAAAGACATGAAAGACATAATGGAAAAAGGACTTTTTTTTTTTTTTGAGATGGAGTCTCCCTCTGTCACCCAGGCTAGAGTGCAGTGGCATGATCTCGGTTCATTGCAACCTCTGCCTCCTGGGTTCAAACGATTCTCCTGCCTCAGCCTCCTGAGTAGCTGAGACTACAGAGATGTGCTACCATGCCTGGCTAATTTTTTTTATTTTTTGCAGAGACAGGATTTCACCGTGTTAGCCAGATGGTCTGGATCTCCTGACCTTGTGATCCGCCTGCCTCAATCTCCCAAAGTACTGGGATTACAGGCGTGAGCCACTGCACCCAGCGGAAAAAGGACTATTTTTAATAATAACTTGTGAAGGCCTTTTTTTTTTTTCCCCCCAAATAAGACTGTCTTGCTCTGTTGCTCATGCTGGAGTGCAGTGGTGTGATCACAGCTCACTGCAGCCTCAGACTCCTGGGTTCAAGATATCCTCCTGTCTCCAGCCTCCAGAGTAGCTAAGACCCAGACTTGTGTCACCAAGCCTGGCTAATTTTAAAATTAAATTTTTTTGTTGTTGTTGTTGAGACAGAGTATCACTATGTTGCCTAAGCTGTCTAAAACTCCTGAGCTCAAGTGACCTTCCTACCTTGGCCTCTGCAAGTGCTGGGATTACAGGCATGAGCCACTGTGCCTGGCTGGGACTAGTGTTAACAATAAATATGTGGACCCTATTTAAGAAAACTAACTATTAGTTGGTGGTTAAGAACATGGACTTTGAATCACACAGATCTGGATTTGATCTTGGCTTTACTGTTTATTGTATTAGCTTGAGCTAGTTATTTAAACCAGTGCTCAGACATTGGTGTGCATAAGAATCATCTGGGGATCTTGTCATAATAGAGATTTTGACTCAGTATGTCTGTGGTGTGGCCAGACGGTCTTCATTTTTAACAGGTTCCCAGGTGATTCTGGTGCTGTGGTCCAAGGACCATGTTTGGAGTTGTAAGACTTGATGTTTTCTAAGCGGTCTCAATTTCCCCAGCTTTAAAATGGGGATAAAAAACCTTCGATTTGGGGTGTTAAGTGATGAGGTGAAAATGTATAAAAAGTTATTTGTACAATGCCTGGCGTATTGTAAGCACTGTTTTTTAATATTACTTAGGAATTAATAAATGTGAATTATTTTGTGTTTCTGAGTAGGAAAACTAAATATATAAAGATGTTATTTTTGGGCCAGCTCACACCTGTAATCCCAGCACTTTGAGAGGCCAAGACAGAAGGATCACTTGAGGCCAGGAGCTGGACACCAGTCTGGGCAACAAAGCAAGGCCCTGTCTCTATTTAAAAAAATGAGAGCAAGAGAGCAATGATTTCTTAGCAGTAAGTAAGTGCAGAGGTTTGAGACAGTTCTGATGAAAACCTGTTTTATTTCAGGATATCCT